AGTATGCTGCCTTCCACAATCATTTAATTTTTTTTAATATTCTGATGTAACCTCTCATCCTTTTACTCCTCCCTCCTTGTAGAATAGAAAAAACTAAACAAACAAACAAACAAAAAACAAACAAACAAACAAAAAGGAATGCCATCTTTGGAGCACTTTTGAAGAAAAAAGTGCAAGAAGTGAACATGGAATGAGTATGTGAAACAGTCGCTTGTCCCTAAAACCTGAGATACTTTGGCAGTGGTTTGGACATAAATCTGACCAAATTTTACTTGAGATCAAACAAGTACATTACATGGAAAACCTTCCTTCAGAAGCTTTGTCTTCCTTCAGAAGTCAAAAACAACCATCACCTCCATAATGCCCCCGGCTTGATGAATGATGGGTGGAAGGAAGAAAGGGCACACCTGGGAATCCCTTCCTCTTCTCCATAACTCAGTATCTTCGACTCCAGTTGCGAGAGGCCTCTTTACTCTTTTTAGGATGTTTTAGCTTCATTCTACATTTTGGTACCTACAAATGCAATTAGTTGCAGGAAGCTGAAGGAACTTTGCTCAGTTACACCTTCTTCTACTACTTTTCTGCAGCTTGGCTACATCCTACGCACTGGTTTGTACTGAAAGGCAAAAGCTACCTTAGTTTTTGTTTTGAGATTAGGTAAGGAAGACGAACCAACTGATACTCATCAGAATTTGGAATAACTGACTCAATTATTTTTCAATTTTTGGTCTTTAATGAACACCTTCTAGTGATATTTTTAATGACTTTTCTCAAAATTTGTTGAATTTGGTGCATATTTCTAAGACCTCACTGGGACAGTTGAGATCAGATGGTATAAAGCCATGAATTCCAAAGAAAATTGAACTGTTGCTTTATGTTACTCATTGCTTAAATCTGCCTTAAATGCTGCAGTGCCAAAAAAATGGAAGGTGGAAAATGTGACTGTTAAAAAGCCTTCTGGGCTCACCCAAATCCGTGTTTGATCTCTGTGCCAGGCAACTTACTGGAAACTATAATAAAGAATAGAATTATTAAACTGAATGACATGTTGGAGAAGAATCAGCATTGCACATCAAGTAGGATGTTGTGTTTTGCAAATGCATTAGAGGTTCAAGGAGTGATTTTTACATAGATAAGGATGGTTCTGATAATATTACAGTTCTGGATTTTCAAAAAGCTTTTGATCTGCTCTTTCGCCATAGGCTCTCAAAGTGTATTGTATGGAATAAAAGGAAAAGGATAAAAAAGTCTAAAAAAAAGTAAACTTATCATTAGATTACACTATATAATGAAGTTTCCAGAACCCACAATAATCTCTGCTGCTCAACACCTTCAGAAATTTTATGGAGAAGTTTAATGCCATGAGGACAGTTGGCAGATAACACAAAATTCATCTGAACAGTCAAATCTTAAACTGGCTATCAAGAATCTCACAAGAGTTTTAGAAAACAGAAAGGCTTTTCTGTTGGCTTCGTAAGCTGAATCCACTTGCCAAGGGGTCACATCAGTGACAAAAGCATACAAAGACTAGGGAGGGAGCATTGTGCATCCAGGGATAGGACGAAACCACAGAGGGAAGGAAGAGCGGGACAACCTGTTTTGGTAGCAAGAAGCTGCTAGATTAGCTTGGCTGTACTGCTTGATAGCACTTTTAATGTCACAGGGTGACAAATGGCAAGTTAAATTTAATATATGGACATGCAAAGTGATGCACCTATGGAAGGCAACCCTCACCATATGTATCCCTTGGTAAAATAGCAACTCTACTCTGAAAAGAGGTCTCAGACCTTTTGTTCATAGCTCTTTGAAAGGAAGAGGTCAGGAAGTAAAAAGGAACCTGTGCAACATTTGGAAATAATAAGAAATAACAAACGTAAGACAAAAGCAGGACAGCGCTGCCGTAAACCCACATCTTGAGTATTGCACGTAGTTTTGTCCACTTTGTCTGAAAAGAAGTATAAACAGAAAAGATAGAGAGAAGGAGGACAACAAAGATGGGGAATGCTTTCTGTATGAGGGGCACAGGCTGCAGTCCCACAGCAGCCTAAGGAATTACTGCTGCAAACCCACTCCTTGCTTCTTCGCCCTGGTGCTGAGCTGGTTGGCACAGTCACCTGGTAGAAAAACATACACACGCTGAAAAAAGGGAAGAGTTTCCTACAATGTTGAGGGAACTTTAAACAGCACAGCCACATCTCTGGACATGGGAGCACACAATGGAGGGAGGAAAGTGGCAACCAGCCCTGGGAAACCTCTGCCTGCAGCTGCAGCTTCACAAGCCATGTTGGCCACCCAGAGCTGAAATGAGCCGACTCACCCTCCCTTCGCTTGTGGCTCCTCTCTGCCACCCCTGAAAGCCTCTCCCTTTTGGGGTTTGTGCAACTGCACAGCAACTCGGGAGGGGAACTGATCGGAATTAAAATGAATCATTTTTGTTGGGTTACTCTGATGGGGTTCGCTGCACGCTAGTACAAGGAGTGGATGTGACCAAAGGACAGGAAGAAGCAGCAGGGAGTGGTGGGACTACTTCTTTGAGCAATGCCAGCTCAAAGGGGTTTGGAAACAAGTAATAGACCAAAGTTCCATAGTTTAGGAAAAGGAATGGTTCTGAAAAGCATATGAGAGACGTATATAAAACGGCATAAAGAAAACAAACAGGACATGATAATTTACTATTTCTTAAACGATGAAAATTCAAGTACCCTATAAAATTATTAAGTAGTGGATTTAAAACTGGTAGGAAGCAGTTCCTGTCTAGCCTTTGGGACATTTGGGACCTTGCTTCACTCCTGAAGGACAGAAGTACCAACGGATCAAAAGGTATTTGACACATTACTGGAGAAGAGGTACATTTGCATCTGTTAGCATGACAATGGACACAGCTTTACCTAAGACAGCTCTTCCTCTGCACTTCAGAAGCTGAAAACAGAAAGAAAAGATCACTCCCTGGTTGTTTCTATGTTTTTATACCTCTTACCTATATGTCTACTATTAGCTGTTGTCACACAGAAGATACCAGCCTAGGGATGCTTGCTTTGAACCAACAGGCTGGCTCTTACGTTTTCATGTACTTTATTTCAACTTGTATGTAATACAAATACATTATTTACATTTGTTATGTTATATTTACAGTAATTTATTGTGGAGACACGAAGTCTGTATTAGATATGCCTCAATACTAAAATTACACCAGACACCCTCTTTTTTTCACACAACCCATTAAAGTCATCTTGGAGAATGTATAGATTTGGTGTTCCTCAAGTTATCTGTCATGTTTATCCAGGGCATTGCAATAAACAGGGGTAGCTTTAAAGCTATGGTGATAGGTAGTCTAAGTGCAGCTCTGAGAGATGGCTAACAGGGTTTCCCACATCAGACTTCTGGACTCGATGGTCTTGAAGATCCCTTCCAACCATGAAGATTTTGTGATGTGTCCTGCGTGAATGCAGACGGACAAGGGACAGTAAAGGATGGCTTGCACTCTATTGGTATAAACTCCATCCACCTCTTCCCTGACTTTATCTTAAAATCACAGAATCACAGAATCACAGAATCGTCTAGGTTGGAAGGGACCTTAAAGATCATCTTGTCCAACCGTCAACCTAACTGACAAAAATAGACACCTGCACAACAAACAAGGAGCATCATCACTAACCCATACCTCCCAGCACTTCATCAACCCGTCTTTTGAACACCTCCAGGGATGGTGCCTCAACCACCTCCCTGGGCAGCCCATTCCAATGTCTGATAACCCTTTCAGTGAAAAAATTTTTCCTAATATCCAGCCTGAACCTCCCCTGGCACAACTTGAGGCCATTTCCTCTTGTCCTGTCGCCTGTGACTTGAGAAAAGAGACCGACCCCCATCTCTCTACACCCTCCTTTCAGGTAGTTGTAGAGAGCAATAAGGTCTCCCCTCAGCCTCCTCTTCTCCAGGCTAAACAACCCCAGCTCCCTCAGCCTCTCCTCATAAGACTTACTCTCCAGACCCCTCACCATCTTTGTTGCTCTTCTCTGGGCCCGCTCCAGCACCTCTATGTCTTTTTTATGGTAGGGGCCCCAAAACTGGACACATATTGGAATAAACCGCAAATTTAGTCGTGAAGAAAACGCGTGTGTTGGGGGTGCGGGGAGGGAGCGAGTTTCTGACTCGGGGCAGCGGGACCGGGCTGGGTTTGGTGCCAGCTTCTCCCTCTCCGGTGCTGAGCCCCGGAGCTATTCCAGGGATGGGAAGGGAGGGAGGGAGGTCCGGGCGCAGCCTTCCCATCGCCTCCCCCGGGGGCGCCGCCGTCCGCCCACCGGCCCGACCCCCCCACCTCCTC